CTCGCGTTCCTGTGCACGACGCTTCAAAATTAGAACGAAACATGTCAGCAGCAGAAATAGAACCTCGCGCGTGTCATCCATTTTTCGTTCGTAAATAGCGGCTTGCCAAAGGTCACCAACTGATGGCGCCCCTTAGCCCGTGCTAACGACTGGCCCTCCCTGTGCGTGGACGCAATTGGGTCTAGTCGAAATGCAAATATGCTAGATAAGCCTAAATCAGCTTAAATCTTAGCCCGTACTTCGTGTAACGTGAACACAACTAATATGTATGCGGCTTATGCCAAAGCTTCTATGTGCTAAGCTTCATTGAATCTGACGAGTTGTTGCGATATTATGTATGTGGCTTATGCCAAAGCTTCTATGTGCTAAACTTCATTGAATCTGACGAGTTGTTGCGATATTGGTGGAAAAGCTAAATATATGTCCCTATCTGATACATAGATATTACATGTCTGCATATTAATGGTCCCATGACCATATAAGGTCATCTCTTATGTTAGCCACAATGCTTTCAAAAGATGGTTGCATGTTTCTATCTACAACTGTGCAAATCAAGTGAATGTCACAAGTTGTCAAGTTCGCGAGTCTTTACGTACAGCGACATCAATATTGTTTCAAAAGATGGTTGCATGTTTCTATCTACAACTGTACAAATCAAGGATGCGCAAAATAAGGAGGATCTTTTTGGATCGTACCACTATTGAATGCTGGGTAGTTGAAGACTCTATATACGAGAACCATTCCGACAGAAAATTGTTAATTTTTTTACATCGACATGTATAATGTCTTATTTTAAAAGTATTTATTAAAAACCCAACGTTTCCATGTTTATATACATACAATGAACTGAGAACTAAGAAAGTCCTCACGTCAAGACAACCGACGTCTCCGAAAATCGGGTTTTGTCCGAGTCGCCCTTATCTTTCAGAGAAAAGAAAAAACGTCGGTGCTAAGTAACGACCGATTTTCGCCAACAACTCGTACCAAAATCGCCAAAGAAATAAGGAATTTTAATTATATTTTAAAAACAATATTTATAGGGAATTTAAAATGTATGAAACACAACAGGACAAAGGTTTGTTGTGAGAGCGTAGACAGAAACAACTTCCCGATGTCCCGTAGTATGAGCCATGTATAAACCGGTTGCTCTAATTTAATTTGAAGTATTAGGCAAAGTCAACTTACAATTGATAAATTATTCTCTAATTTCCACCATCTGCTGGAATTGGCAACTCAGAAACGAAGACCAGTACAACAACGATGAAAAAAAATATTCGAAGAGAATTATAAAAGAGAAATAGGACATTTGGAAAGACATACGAAACATAAATAAAACAGAACGGCGTGCACCAACCAATCATCTGTGATCATCCAAAATATGTAAATTAAAGAACAGTCCTGTTTAATAAATTTGAAATCATGCGCGGTCCAACATCGATAATCTGCAACAAATCTGTAAAAGTACCAGTCAGAATACATCGATCAAAACGAAAATTGACAGACGTTTTTGGTTTTTATTGCAAATGCTTATTGAGAATAGCTGTATTTATATCGACGCTGCGGCCCTTTGATCACGGATTACGCTTTTAACAATTTGTGTCACCGAAGTAATTCAGGGAAGACAACCACCGATCTCATTGTCGTGATGCTATTTCAGGGTTGAACGCAAGCGGTGAATTATTTTAAGGCGACATTGACTACATACATGTATTAAAGATTTTTTTTTTTACATATTCGGGAGCTCTGTGCCATTATGATACAATTATTCATCATTGATGTCAAACATTGATATCTCAACCAGCTCCCACTTCTGCGATAGGCGATTGTCACATTGATGCAGCGTGGGTGTGGTGCTATCAGCATCTGCCTTGTCGAGACACAAGCCGCTCACCACGTGCATTATCGATTTTAACTGAAAGCAAAGAAAAAAAAGTGTTAAAAACAGCCGGTTTCGCTAGTTCACATAAATAGGTGTTTTATTCAGACACGCATAATTTGATGAAAACATATGAAGAAGTTTGGACATGTCATATTGATATTCATAATATGACATGTTATTGCCTAGAAAGATATGAAAGTTGTCGATTTCAATACCAGACCAAGGAACATTCAAGCAGATAAATATTTTTAACGAGTTGAGGGCGCAGTTTTTTGACTGAGGTACTCTTGAGTGTTATTGCAAACAATTACTACAACTAACAGGTTTT